TCAGACAAATAGAACAGAATAGAATTCAGAATAGAATAGAATAATAGAGTTGGAAGGGATCTTGGAGGTCTTCTAGTCCAACCCCCTGCCTAGGCAGGAAACCCTACACCACTTCAGACAAATAGAACAGAATAGAATTCAGAATAGAATAGAATAATAGAGTTGGAAGGGATCTTGGAGGTCTTCTAGTCCAACCCCCTGCCTAGGCAGGAAACCCTACACCACTTCAGACAAATGGTTAGCCAACCTCTTAAAGACTTCCAGTGTTGGAGCATTTGCAACTTCTGGAGACAAAAAGGAATGAGTGGAAACTAATCAAAGAGAGAAGCAACTTAGAACTAAGAAAGAATTTCCTGACAGTTAGAACAGTTAATCAGTTAATCTCTTTGATTAGTTTCCACTCATTCCTTTTTGTCTCCAGAAGTTGCAAATGCTCCAACACTGGAAGTCTTTAAGAGGTTGGCTATCTATTTGTCTGAAGTGGTGTAGGGTTTCCTGCCTAGGCAGGGGGTTGGACTAGAAGACCTCCAAGATCCCTTCCAACTCTATTATTCTATTCTATTCTGAATTCTATTCTGTTCCATTTGTCTGAAGTGGTGTAGGGTTTCCTGCCTAGGCAGGGGGTTGGACTAGAAGACCTCCAAGATCCCTTCCAACTCTGTTATTCTATTCTATTTTATTCTATTCTTTGGTAATAAAGCAATATTTGCCCTTTTTTGCCAATAATCTGGCATGGCAGATCCTTGGGTAACAGCATTCATTGCCTTTTTATTTTTTAAAGAATTAGATTTGGTCTTCAAAACATTTGTAATACAAACTTGAAAGTTCATCTGATCTGGTGCTTCACCTATTTCAATTTTCTTTCTAACTTCTGATGTATCCAAATGGCTTTTCAGAAGTTGGGGGGCAGTGGGGGGGGGATTGAATCCAGTCTGGCCACGGTCTGGCTATGGTATTGGTGGCTGGGTTCTCTTCCTTGCCGAAGCAGCTATGATGTGTTTTTTTTTGGGGGGGGGGGGACAGGGACCTAGGAATTGTGAAGTTACGGAAGCGCCCAACAGCTATGCTGTTTCTGCCTTTGAGCTGCGTGATGGAGCTTGAAGTTTTTTGGAAAAGGACTTCTGGAGAACGAGAGGGGGATCCGGCTGCAACCCCTGTCACCCCACTGATTGCCCTGGTGGATTTGGCTGATCTGGCTGTCTAGGCAGGTGTCTTCCCCCACCCTTCCCACCCCATGTGTGTCTCTCTTGAAGCTGCAAGCTTGCTGTAAGAGAACAACCATCCAGATAGAGGTATAACCAGTCTTTAGTCCAAGGATCTTCTGTATATGTACCTTCGGGGGCTTAGCAGAACTGGGCAAGAGGCATGGTCTTTCAGTTTGGGAAGTCCACCTCCCATGTAGGACACGCAGAAGTCACGGATGTCATGATATCGCAATCTTGGGTTTGTAAGTGACACCGCTCGGCTTCACCCAATCAAAAAAAAAACATCCTTTTTATTAAGCTCATGGGAAATCCTCTCCTTCACATCCGGCTAAGTCCCGTCAAACAGTCTTTCAAGGGTGAATTTACAACCACAGACCTTATCAGGCTTGGAGAGCTGCCAGGCCGATATCTCCCAGATGCCACGCTGTAGCAGCAATTCCTTGGCAAGAAGTCACAAACAAATCTTCGCAGTAATTTAGCCAACTAATTGTCTCCTGCAAACTCCATTCCCCTTTTGCTCCTCTTTATTCCCTCTGGGAGTGACCATTCACCGTCCACCTGTGCCTTTATTCCCAAGTCGGCCCTTGTTCCTTAGCTGTTCCTTTCTCCTGGCAACGCTGCGCATGCACCCATCAGGAACAGGCTCCAGCTGTTCTTCTGCCCCACTGATCTCCAACTCCAAAGGCAGTTGATAACTGTCGGACGGCCGTGGCCCCATCCCTGTTTCCAATGCAGAGCCCACGTCAGAGCCTTCCCCAGACTCCAGGACTGGCCCATCTTCCTCCCCAACCTCCCCACTGTCTGACTCTGCCGCCAGCTCTGCTGGTGGGCGCGAACAATGCCCACCAGCGTGACATCCTTTAGAGCCAATTAGTTTGGATAGCCTTCTGCTAAACTGTATGGTGATTTTATATACAAAACTGTTCTGACTCCCTCCTCCGTCCAGTAACGAAAGCCGAGACACGCTTAATGAGAATGTCCTTTAATAACAAGACCAGAATCTCAGTGGCTGAAAGCCAAGTGAACAAACAGATAAGGACCTTGGTGGCAAGTCCGACAGACCTTGACAGCAATTCAGGCAAACTCTCGCAGCAATCCAGCCTGCCAAGTTAGTTTCTCTTTAGTCAAAGCGTTGACTTCTGCAAAGAGG